TTTGTAGTTGTGTATCCTGTATTTATCGTACACTAAGCATTTATTTAGACAGGAGATACTATATTTATAGAATATTTCAGTTCATGTTGTTTTAATAGCCTTGTTGTTGCATTAGTAAAGGTTTTGTGTGTTTATGTAGTATGCAATATAAATGACCTCTTTAATCAAAAGTATCATTTCAGTCTTAGCTATGATCTTGACCAGCAGTTACATCACCCGTAATTGAAACTCCGTTCAAACCGATGGCAAAGATGTTGATTACTGTGAATTCTTAGTCTGATGGACTTCATTATAAAATTTCTTAGCTTTTCTGCTTGTAATTGGGAAGATATTTGAACTTGGTGCTCCCCTTTTGAAATCTATTTTTATTGAATTCAGCAAATTTAAAAAAGGTATATAAAATTAAATTATTACTTCTTATTCAAATATGTGCTACCTTTGCTGTGTATATAATTACTTAAGGAAAAACTTGTTTCTGAAAAGACTATTGATTATCTGATCCAGATTATGGTTATGACTAGAATAAGAGTCAGATTGCTCTTTGCCTAGTAGCAATTTTTAAGGTGACTTGCGCTTTTGAGGTGATGGTTCTTTTTAATAGTTAATTCTACCCTGGCTATGCTCAGTCAAATTGGACTTTGTAGACTTTTAAGTGGCCTCATATGTTAGGAGGAGAATGTCCCTGCTTCTTCAGGGCACCCCTTCCACCCCCGCAGTTGAAGTGGCCTAGGTAGAAAAGAGAAGTTGTTCAAGGTTGAGTAAGTTCTGATAAGACCAATTTATCTATAACACAAACAATTGTGAAAGCTGTTGGTACATGGCATGAACAGCCAGCTACCCTCAAAGGTCAGGCTGGCATAAGACTACAAAATTTTATGTGCGCGGTGAAGCAGAGGCATTGAAAACCTGCCTTGATTCAGTATAAATATATTGTGTGGCAACTTCAGAGGAGACAGTAGAATTCTGAAGATACTTTTTTGTCCGTGATTCCCCCATTCCATAAACACATGTTTCAGGGTAGATATTATAGGTTTTATTGTATCTAAATGGTGATTTATGTCCTTATTCTTGCATTATTGCCCACAAGGTACTGCCCTGTGTCACAGGCCTGTATTACCTAATTTTTTCAACTGTTTCATTTTCATTAGTACAACTGGTTTAGCTTGTGATCAGTGTACTGCACCTCATTGATAGTCTAAGACAGTATTAGACACACAGGACTGACATCTAACCCTGTCAGTCTGGCTGATTGACCCCTCAGCTTCCGAAACATGGGTTCATTTTTTTTAAAACCCAAGTTAGCCCTATATCTATTTTCACACACATTCTGGGCAGTTTAAAGGTTGGTCGGAATCGAATATTGCTCTTTCAAATTTGATAATGTATGAGTACAGAACTGTGACCTTTGATACATAGTAATACATCAACATGACATGAGCAGTAAGTGCAGCAATTACCTTTACTACACTTGAGATTGTGTTTTAGTTCTCATCTCGTAAGCAATTATTTCAGGAAAAAAAGGATGCCTCTAAGTTGAATGTATTTTGCAAATAGTGTAAATGCAGAAATTAATCTTTGGAGACTTTTTTGATTTACAGGTGATTATTATTTTTCAAATGAATCTTGGCTTTTAAATTAACATTGCTTCAGTAGTAGAAAGGAGCGAATTCTGACTCTTGTGCCATTGGCTTTTATGATAGTGTTTTCTGGGAGAATCTTTTTAACCCTTTTTGATGTGTTCCGAGGTAATTTAAGTTTCGTATTCTGACTTACGGCTAAAGCCTGATTCTGCAAGCAGCTGACGTGTCGCTGCCTCCATGTAGCTCCCATGATAATACTCATAAGTTAGTTGCATGCATGATAATAATGCAAATCAACTTGCTTTTTCTCTAAGTAGCTTTTAGAATGTATGAGAATATCTCATTAGACCTGCACTATGTATTGATTTAGAAGGCTGCTTTAGCTGCTCCAGCAATGTTTCATCTTTTTTTCCTGATCAGGTCAAGATACATTTGGTTTAGTTTCCAAGTCTTCTCCTTCACCTGTTGTTACAAATTATTTGTATAATGATAGTGCACAAACACTGCCTGGTAGATGCTATAAAAACACAAATCAATGCTCCTTTACCAAAGAGTATAAAGCCTCTGCAGATCTGTAAAAAGAGGACTGATACCAGTTGTAGCTTCTGTTCTGTGAACTAAAAATCAAAATAAAATTACTATATCATTCTGAGCAAGCAACTGAATAACTATTGAATGGTGACTTTTCATCAGTGCTGTCTGTCATGAACAAAGCTCAAAGGAATAACGTTCAGTAGAATTTGCTTTCTAAAATACCTGCTTCCTCAGCAGCCAAACACTGGACGTGTTGGCTTGCTAGAGCGCTTATGCATTGAAGTTTTTCCTCGGTGACGATTATAATGTGTAATTCAGGAGCTAGCAGAAATGTTTATTCTGTTCTGTATTGAGGTAAAATCAATAGCTTTTAAAATAGGGTTTTTTAAGCTGTCAAAAATCTGTATACGTAATCCGCAATAACATTTGACCTTATTGGGACACTTACGCAGGAAACGGAAGACCAACGTGGTTGACTTGGAGTAGGAACTAAAGCCTGTGCCTCCCAAATCTAAGGTGAGTAGAAGGGTAACTTTTTTTTCTAAGGTAGGTTTCTTTTTCTCACTACTAGCTTTGGGGATGATCACTTTCTGTATATACATATTTGCAGTAAATTGATCATAAACCTAAAAACTTGTCTAATGAAAGTTTCATCAAAATGGAAAGGTCTCACCGACAGATTTTCTAATGCTTTCTAGCAACAGTTCAGTTCTTCACTATCTGTAGTCTTGTCACCTCTTTGGGAGGGAAAGCAAACAAATGCAGTAGGTCATTACATAAATTAGTCCTAATCAAAGTCTTGGTCATACAAACTTTTCTGCAAAGCCACAAGGAAGGTCCTGTATGGGGAAGTTCTGAAAAAGTTTCTGTGCTGTTCCTTGTTGCTTTGAACCTGTGCCCTGTAAGGGGAATTTAGGCCTTTAACTACTTCAAAATGAAAACTCCAGCTTTTTTGCATTCTTTCTTTGATTTTAATGTTGATAGTGCTAGTTTATTTTGAAATCAATAATCTTGTTGCACAGCATTTTCCGTTAAAAAAATGTGAATAGTCTGAATGAGGAAACCTTGAGCTGAAAACGGCTGAAAACCAGAACGGTTTTCAAACCAAAGTACTGTGTGTGTTGATGATGTAGCAAATGAATGTGGTTGCAATAATTTAATGTGGAAGTCTTTTTTTTTTTTTTTCTATTGGGACTCTATTTTTATGGGAAAGTTACTTACAGTAAAAGAGTGCAATTGTGCTGGTAGATAACTGGATGGAGAATTGTATTTGTTACCTTGCTACAAGTAAAAACGGCAAAACCTTGACAACTCTTGTATCATTACAAGTCAGTATTTGTTGATTGCTGTTTGCCCACACTGAATTTATTACTTCTAATAAGAACTCAGACATCTTCAGTTTTTCTCTCCGAACAGTAGTGTATAATAACCATTTTCTAAAGAGCAGACGACACTGGTATTCCCCAGCGTTAGTAGAATCCCTCTTATAGTATTTGGAAAATACTTCTTTTCTCTCATATTTTAGAGAAGGGAGTAAATATAGTATTTTTTTCACCATTTTTGCTACAACAATGTTAGAAATATTTGTTTTTCAAAAACACTAGAATTTTTGTTTATTTCAGCTATTTGGCTACAGCTCTGCAAAGCTGAGGCTTTTTTAACGAGGCAGTGAATGACAGCCTGGATGCAGAATGTATTTTCTTTTTTTTTTTTTTTTTTTTTTTTTGTAGACTTAAAACTTATCTTACAGGCTTGCAATGATGTGAAATCCTCCTGAAAGCAGATTGTTAGATGACTGAACAAATGATGGGCAGTTGAAACTTAGGGACACTTAATGGAAACTACTCAGCTAAGACTGTGTGCATCTTATTGTGAATGTTCCTGATGTAATATAATAAGACATTATGTTCATCCAGTGATGGGTGTCTGATCTATTTGATTTTAAAAATCTGGATCGCTTTAAGAACTTTCACAAGATGCATGCTGAATAAGTGTAATGATTCTGTGAGCTAGAATATTGTTAGCCATTGTGAACAGTACTGAAAGAGTCTCTCTATATATAATGTGATGGATGCAATTTTGTTTGAAATTTTTTTCCAAGGCCAATTTAATTTTGATTTATTTGCCTCATTAACCCAAGGATTCAGAAAATTGAATGCCACCTGAATGGGGTATTATTAACACTAGTGAAACATCTTCAAAATCACTCCGCGCTTATAAATTGGTCTTTTGAAAGCATTTTAAAGGCATAACGATACTGTTGTGAAAATGCACAGCATCCTTTAAAAATTGCAAAATGCTTATCTGATTTCTGAAATAAGAGTTGGTCACCTGACTTAAATGTATACTGATCTATTATTTATGCTTTGAAAATAGAGCTGATAAAAAGCATAAGTGTTCTTGATATTATATTTTGTCATATCTGGCGAAAAAGATTGAAATCCAGAGAAACAATTTTCTGAAGAAATGAAATAGTATGCCCTCCTGAACCCCTGGGGAAAATAGCCTCTCTGTTTGCTCAGAATATGAAACAGTAAAACAGCATAAGTAAAACAGACAGCCCATGTCACATTGCTATTTGTACAGTTTGGAATGATGTTTTAAAAACATTTTCTAGTTATTTTTGATAAATAAATGGTGCAAATAACATCTGCAATCCATCCCTGCTGATGTACGGTTTCTCAAATCAGATTTGTTTCTCAGTGAAAGTCAGAAAATTGCTTTGCAAAGCTAAAGTTGTATAACTCTCAAAAATATGCAAAACAAATATACAAGAATATATCTTGCCCTCCTTTTACCGTCCCCCAAAGATGCTAGTGCTGATTCTCCATCATCTTTGCTTCTGGACTCAGAAGGTGGCTTGATAAAATGATGAAATAACAAAAAGCTTAGTTACTAAACATAAACATACACGTTCTTATAAGTCAATATCTGAACACTCAAATGGATACCTGGGCTTCCAGCTACACTTTTGGAACTGCAGCCTGTTTAAAGCCTTGAGATTTCCACTTGAGTCAATGCCCCAATGAAAAATGAGTTTAAGGGTTGTATCACCCTCCATAGTTGATGCATCTATGGTCAGGGAGGAACAAGGAAAATGTGTATGTTGCCTAGCTGTTGCTTTCTGCAGGTTCTGCTGGACACCCTCATGCTGAGGATGAATGGGAATTCAAAGCCTCGTGGATTCCAGAAGTATTCTTCAGTATGTGAATACTGACTTCGCTTTAACTTCCTTCACTGTGAGGTGAAAACAAAGGTGGAAAAAAATTCCATGGGCAGCAGGGTCCGGATGTCTGATGTCATAGCTCCACAAATGCCCTGCTGCTGAAGACTAGCCAAGTAAGCACGTGTTGGGAGAGCTCCTGAAACATGGCTCCCTTAGGGAGCTGGCTTTCAGCTATGTTTGTGGAATGTGCATCTTCAAAGCAAAACGTATTTGGGCAGAATTTCTCTCCTGCCATGTTATACATGAGACTTCTATTGTCCACAGAGTTGGCTAAAGCCAAATTTTCTTTACTGATGTTTTGATAGGGTGCTCAGTGGACTCCATCTCAGAAAGACTAAATTCTGTGATGTGTCTGCAGAATACAAGAGGTGCATATTTTGTAAATATGTATGTATTTAATAGAGAAATAAAGAAAAGGAAGCTTTTCTGTTCATTTTCCATCCTTAAATTTTACAAGCATAATGATTTAGTAAATTCTACATTTTGAGTTTATGCAAGACTGGAATATTGCTTGGCATTTTATTTTGACACCTGAACAAAAAGTCGTTGGGGGGGTTTATTAGGCTAGTAACGTTTCACTGAATTATTCTTTTTATTGAATGAATAACCTATTGGGTTTGTCAAGGTCGAGGTAGAATTCTGGGACTGTTATCTTTTACATCATGGTTTACATGTTCACTGTCATATATAACTATAAAGGTGATAATGGAGGACATGCCACTCTGAGTAGTCTGAATGGAATTTTTTATACAGCAAATAGAGAAAAGGAATGAACATGGTAATATTGTTTTTAAAAAAACTCAAGCCTTATTAAACCACCTATAGCTTATTTCTGGTTTCTCTTTGGCAAAAGACTCAAGTGCTTCAATATAGCATATGTTTATCAGTAACTTTCCTTCTGTTAAAGGGAAGGGCATTAGGTATAGCCATGAATGGGCATCACCATGGTTTTTTTTGAACCTGACTTTATTGCATCATTTCAAAATCTTATTTTAATATGATATTTGTCTAAAGTAATTATGAATTCAATTACTTGTTTAGCATTTTGATGAATGTTTACATTGTTCGCTACAATGCTTAGTAGAGAGTTCTTTGGTCATGGGCAGTGTGCTTATATAACTGCTATATGAAAACTATTTCCTTGAAAAGGACAAGGGTTTGCCCAGAGTGCTTACCCAGGCTTTCTCTTCCAAGGGTATTTCTGAAGGGTGCTATTAAGCGTTGGATCATCCATCCCCTTTTTTTGATATTGGTAGATTTTTGGTGTCATTTCTAT